ACACACACACACACACTTCAAGCATAAGCCTTTTATCATTTAAATGTAGTGGGTGGAGCCTAGCACTGCCGCATCATCCAGGTCTGGGATTGCTTCTTGTGAAGGACTAAATGTTTAATCTGCCATTGCACAGAGGGACTACACGGAGCGTGCTGCTGATCCCTCCTTCTGCGCGCTGTAGTCCTGATGCAGTTTCTCCAGCCTCATAATAGCAGGACTGTACCACGGACAGACCCGAGACCAGAGAAAAACATTGAAGGAGCCTTTGCATCACCCCTGCAATGTACTATGGGTGGATAGTGTTAATGTTAATTTCTTATAGTAGCCCCTTTTTTTAGTTCTCATTGGCACAGTCCTTTTTTATGCTGTTTATTGGTTTTCTTCTGAGACCCTCTACATATTTTGAAAGCTTTTTATTGCTATGCGAATCTTGTGCTTTGTGCTATTTTAGCCCCTGTTTACAAATACCCTTTTGTGTTTGTTTTACAGGATAACATTTCTTTAAAAGAACCAGAGAGAGTCTCTATCGTACCAGGTCAGTACAGCCCAACCTCAGAAACTATATGTGTGAATGTGTTTTGTTTTAGGCCTTGTTCACACCAAGCGCAGAGCAGGTGCAAAACAGTTGCAGACCGGATCAAAAGTGCGTCCAATGTATTCCAATGGTATTTTTAGCTCCAGTTCACATCGCAGCGTGCAGTTCCAGAGCAGGTAAAAAAACTGCAGCAGGCCCTATTTTACCTGCTCTGGATCTGCAAACGCATAAATGCATGCAAATGCCTTGAACGCACTGAAAGGCCACGTTAAACTAAAAAAAAAATATATATATATATTTTACTTTTTATTAACCCAAAACGGCCTGGAACGCATCAAAAACGCGTCAAACGCATCTAAAAGACGTGCGTGTGCAGAAACCTGACCGGATCTGCTCTGCATTTGGTGTGAACAAGGCCTTACCTTGTCATCATTTCTTAGCTGGTCCAGGAAGCATGGATCTCTAGATGGGTGGTAGGTATGTGTAACAATGAAAATGACAGTTGCATGTCTGTGGGAACATGATAAAGAAATGTACCTTTTAGAGTGCTGGTTCTTGTGCACCCTTGCTTGTTCTATTCAGGTCCAGAACCGTTTGATCCAGAGAGGAGACCTAGCCAGGGGGCAGTAACTTGAAGATGCAGAACTCTTAGAGCTTGTTGACACCAATTGCGGTGCGTTCCAGAGCAGTAGCTGCTGGAACGCAACGCAAAAAATAGAGCATGCAGCATCTTTTGCGTTTGCAGTGGAATAGAACGCAGGCAATGTTTTGCCACGCATCCAATCGCACTGCGGTTGGGGGGGCGGGGCTGCGGTGCCATTGATTTCAATGCACCGCCATGCCCCCTCCCCCGAATGCAGGGGGAAGTTTTGTGAGCGATTTGCGGGGTATTCCAGCACCTACCGCTCTGGAACACACCGCAATTGGTGTGAACAAGCCCTTAAAGGAGAACTATGAGGTGAGTGCTTTTCACTCGCCTCATAGTTCTAGCCGACCTGTGAAAATGAGGCTGTCGCAGGTCGGCTCAGTAGATCGGGAGGTGAGCGAACACATAGTGGCGTTCGCTCACTTCTCGATCCTGTCACGGCTCTGCTGTGACAGGGGAGGGGCTGGATTCCCCCCTCCCCCGCTCCGATCCGCCAGCGCTGACTGGCAGAACGGATGTGGGAGGGGGCGGGTACAGCTGGTTATAGAACTATGGGGAAAAGCCCTAACCCCATAGTTCTCCTTTTAAGTTTCCATCATCCTACTCCTGATCTAGACATCTATGCTTCCTGGATGTATAGTTTGTGAGTGCTGACCATTATGGAGCATTTGAGTGCAGGATGAAGCCTTATTTGTCACAGCTTGCTGATCAGTTGAAAGGATTTATAGCTGATTTTGTACAATAATGCCACTGATGGTAACTAGCAAGTTACAGAGACTGCTTGGGCACAGTACCCCATATTTTGGTATTTGCTGAAGGGCATGGTGAATAGCAGTGGTTCTGCAGGAAGCTCGTCATAACAATCCATATTTTATTTCTAAAGCAGAATTCCAGGCAGAATGTGTATTAACCCTTGCAGTGGTGTTGCCCCTGCAACAACAAAAAAAGTATGTTGAAGCTTCAGAGGGAAACAAAAAGTTTGGTAATTAAACGCAATATTAACCATTGCCTTGAAGTACAGGATATGCAAGTCTGAGTCCCACCAGGGATAGCATCTGTATGGAATTTGTATGGGTTTCCTACATAATCCAAAACCTACTGATAGTTTAATCATCTTTTATATAATTTAGGCCCCTGCTGTTCACCCTGTGGGCCTCAGACCTCAGCAGCCGGGTTTTCCCCACCTAGATACTTTGGTCTTGTGGAGGACAATATTCATTATTTTGCTTTCTGTTATAATGGAACCTATGAATTAAAAACGTGTGACTAGGCAGGCTTGTTATTGCAGAATACAAAACACAAAAATTCTCCAGCCTCAGCCTGCCAGCCACCTGCAACCAAACAAGTAGCCCTGTCAACAGTATGCGTTAAAATCAGAGGTTTTAGTTGCACAAACTTTTGGCCAAAAATATGTAGAAGCCACACTGCCGCACCAAGGCACCTCTGCAAAGTGTGGTCCTAACTCTATGTATCTGAGTCTCCAAGTGTGAGCATATTAATGAAGTTGATAAATTACATGCAGGTGTACCTGGAGGTAGCCAACTCCTCCTAATAAGGTGCAGGGACGCACTGGAGGCCCAGCAACCAAAAATGCACGCTGGGACTCCAGTGCGTCCCCCTAACCCAAAATAGTAAAACTAGAAAAAATGGCACATGCATGAATCCATAACCGGCCTTTATAGCAGGGCGCACATTGGGAAGGCTTACAACAATACAAAACACAAAAATTCCCCAGCCTCAGCCTGCCAGCCAGCCTGCAACCAAACAAGTAGCCCTGTCAACAGTATGCGTTAAAATCAGAATATCAGGAATTCTATTCTGTATCAGGGCCACTAATGTCTTCGGGTGTTGTGAGATGGTGGCAGAAACATTATTTTTTAGGATCTTTTGGGGGAACGACCTAATGCAAATTGAGTGCTATTTAAACACCGTTATAAAAGACTTTCTACACATTCTGTGGGTTGTTTTTGGCAATGTCACATAAAATAAAGGTGGTGGTAAAGGAACATGGAATGGGAAGTGGCTGTGTTGCCTATAGTGACCAGTTTACGGTTTTCTCTCTAGTGCCTTTAGTGAGAAATTCAAAGTAAGGATATAGTTGGCTCGTTACGACACCATATACATAATTTCTGTGTTTTCTTTGTTTGTGAGCCTCAATCAACAAATAAGCTTTGTGATCTCCCTTTCTTCCAGTGAAAGCTGAAAAGCCGCCTCCTCCACCTCCAGCTCCCACACCAGAGCCCACGCCAGAAGTGAAAACACCAGTGGCCAATCACATCGCAGCGTGCAGTTCCAGAGCAGGTAAAAAAACTGCAGCAGGCCCTATTTTACCTGCTCTGGATCTGCAAACGCATAAATGCATGCAAATGCCTTGAACGCACTGAAAGGCCACGTTAAACTAAAAAAAAAATATATATATATATTTTACTTTTTATTAACCCAAAACGGCCTGGAACGCATCAAAAACGCGTCAAACGCATCTAAAAGACGTGCGTGTGCAGAAACCTGACCGGATCTGCTCTGCATTTGGTGTGAACAAGGCCTTACCTTGTCATCATTTCTTAGCTGGTCCAGGAAGCATGGATCTCTAGATGGGTGGTAGGTATGTGTAACAATGAAAATGACAGTTGCATGTCTGTGGGAACATGATAAAGAAATGTACCTTTTAGAGTGCTGGTTCTTGTGCACCCTTGCTTGTTCTATTCAGGTCCAGAACCGTTTGATCCAGAGAGGAGACCTAGCCAGGGGGCAGTAACTTGAAGATGCAGAACTCTTAGAGCTTGTTGACACCAATTGCGGTGCGTTCCAGAGCAGTAGCTGCTGGAACGCAACGCAAAAAATAGAGCATGCAGCATCTTTTGCGTTTGCAGTGGAATAGAACGCAGGCAATGTTTTGCCACGCATCCAATCGCACTGCGGTTGGGGGGGCGGGGCTGCGGTGCCATTGATTTCAATGCACCGCCATGCCCCCTCCCCCGAATGCAGGGGGAAGTTTTGTGAGCGATTTGCGGGGTATTCCAGCACCTACCGCTCTGGAACACACCGCAATTGGTGTGAACAAGCCCTTAAAGGAGAACTATGAGGTGAGTGCTTTTCACTCGCCTCATAGTTCTAGCCGACCTGTGAAAATGAGGCTGTCGCAGGTCGGCTCAGTAGATCGGGAGGTGAGCGAACACATAGTGGCGTTCGCTCACTTCTCGATCCTGTCACGGCTCTGCTGTGACAGGGGAGGGGCTGGATTCCCCCCTCCCCCGCTCCGATCCGCCAGCGCTGACTGGCAGAACGGATGTGGGAGGGGGCGGGTACAGCTGGTTATAGAACTATGGGGAAAAGCCCTAACCCCATAGTTCTCCTTTTAAGTTTCCATCATCCTACTCCTGATCTAGACATCTATGCTTCCTGGATGTATAGTTTGTGAGTGCTGACCATTATGGAGCATTTGAGTGCAGGATGAAGCCTTATTTGTCACAGCTTGCTGATCAGTTGAAAGGATTTATAGCTGATTTTGTACAATAATGCCACTGATGGTAACTAGCAAGTTACAGAGACTGCTTGGGCACAGTACCCCATATTTTGGTATTTGCTGAAGGGCATGGTGAATAGCAGTGGTTCTGCAGGAAGCTCGTCATAACAATCCATATTTTATTTCTAAAGCAGAATTCCAGGCAGAATGTGTATTAACCCTTGCAGTGGTGTTGCCCCTGCAACAACAAAAAAAGTATGTTGAAGCTTCAGAGGGAAACAAAAAGTTTGGTAATTAAACGCAATATTAACCATTGCCTTGAAGTACAGGATATGCAAGTCTGAGTCCCACCAGGGATAGCATCTGTATGGAATTTGTATGGGTTTCCTACATAATCCAAAACCTACTGATAGTTTAATCATCTTTTATATAATTTAGGCCCCTGCTGTTCACCCTGTGGGCCTCAGACCTCAGCAGCCGGGTTTTCCCCACCTAGATACTTTGGTCTTGTGGAGGACAATATTCATTATTTTGCTTTCTGTTATAATGGAACCTATGAATTAAAAACGTGTGACTAGGCAGGCTTGTTATTGCAGAATACAAAACACAAAAATTCTCCAGCCTCAGCCTGCCAGCCACCTGCAACCAAACAAGTAGCCCTGTCAACAGTATGCGTTAAAATCAGAGGTTTTAGTTGCACAAACTTTTGGCCAAAAATATGTAGAAGCCACACTGCCGCACCAAGGCACCTCTGCAAAGTGTGGTCCTAACTCTATGTATCTGAGTCTCCAAGTGTGAGCATATTAATGAAGTTGATAAATTACATGCAGGTGTACATGGAGGTAGCCAACTCCTCCTAATAAGGTGCAGGGACGCACTGGAGGCCCAGCAACCAAAAATGCACGCTGGGACTCCAGTGCGTCCCCCTAACCCAAAATAGTAAAACTAGAAAAAATGGCACATGCATGAATCCATAACCGGCCTTTATAGCAGGGCGCACATTGGGAAGGCTTACAACAATACAAAACACAAAAATTCCCCAGCCTCAGCCTGCCAGCCAGCCTGCAACCAAACAAGTAGCCCTGTCAACAGTATGCGTTAAAATCAGAATATCAGGAATTCTATTCTGTATCAGGGCCACTAATGTCTTCGGGTGTTGTGAGATGGTGGCAGAAACATTATTTTTTAGGATCTTTTGGGGGAACGACCTAATGCAAATTGAGTGCTATTTAAACACCGTTATAAAAGACTTTCTACACATTCTGTGGGTTGTTTTTGGCAATGTCACATAAAATAAAGGTGGTGGTAAAGGAACATGGAATGGGAAGTGGCTGTGTTGCCTATAGTGACCAGTTTACGGTTTTCTCTCTAGTGCCTTTAGTGAGAAATTCAAAGTAAGGATATAGTTGGCTCGTTACGACACCATATACATAATTTCTGTGTTTTCTTTGTTTGTGAGCCTCAATCAACAAATAAGCTTTGTGATCTCCCTTTCTTCCAGTGAAAGCTGAAAAGCCGCCTCCTCCACCTCCAGCTCCCACACCAGAGCCCACGCCAGAAGTGAAAACACCAGTGGCCAAAGAGGAGAAGAAGAAGGTTGCAGTGCCAGAAGTAGACCTTTCCAGACATGAACCTCACCTAGGCCCCCGGCCACGCTCCCACAACAGAGTCCTGAACCCACCAGGGGGCAAATCCAGTGTCACCTTCTATTAACAACCACAATGTAACCGAGTTAGCAGGGTGGCCCTATGCATGTGAAACATACTGTAGCTCCCTTAGATCAGGGCAGAGCATCAATTAAAGGCCAGAAAATGACAAGTTTATTCCTGCTTGGTACCAAACAGATGAAAAGTTCATATTGCACCCAGCCATCCTAACCACAACTGCATACTGTTTTGCAGAAAGGACATTTTATGTCTGGTAGCTGGAGAAATCCCTACATACTGTAGTTTTATTGGTAAATGTTATAGCCTTTTAATAATTAATAGTTAAGTGGCCAAAGTCCCATGGGGTTCTGTTTAATGTATCCAGTCCAGGGAGAAACCATTTTGGCAACTGACCCACCAACAATGACCGTGCCTTCACCAGAGAACAGCAATGCTGGTTCACCATTTGGGCATCGTATTTACTTTTTCTTTTTATCCATGTTGGCAATGACGTGGTGGTTGTTGGCAACGCATATGCTTTCCATTTCAGACTTGATTTGTGATTCTCTTAAAATGGCCTCATTAATGTGACTAGTTCTGACTAAGCGTCTGCACTACAAATGGGTCGGTGCACATTGTGGCTTCTACTACATCAGTGAACAAACCATTGTTTGCTTTTGTAGGACTCTGTGCTTGGAGTGGATGGGTTAAACATAGGGGGACACCCAAAACCTAGCCCTGCTGACTCTGTTATTGGTTTTATGCTTTTTAAGATATGTCAAAAACTTTTTCCTAGATTTGGACGCAGTGGGGAAGGATTAGAACTCCTGTCGTGTTCTTACAGCTCCATAAGAGAGTTATCCCCTCACTTCCTGTCTGGTGAAATGGTTGTCTGCAAGACAGGAAGTTAGGGAAAACAGAGGTCCTAACCTTTGCTTACTTTACTGAAGAAGAGCATTTTTATTTCTGTCTGTTGCCGAGTTCCCTTCACAGGAAGTGAGGGTAAAGCTCTCTTAATGAAGCATTGGACAGCTGCAAAACTCTGACGGGTTCTAACCTTTACCTACGCTATCCAAAATCAACCAAAAAGGTTTTGGCTATCGATGTACGTCAAGCCTTTATAAGCGTTTTAGGCTGGCTCGAGATGATCCTTGGCAAGAAATATTAAAAACGAAGCATCCATCTTTAGATGGTCAGGCAGTGGCCTGAAAGAGCTGATTATTAAAATAACGTTACTTCCTTTCAACGTACATTTTTAAAAAAAAATCAGAAGCGATGTGTGATTGCCAGGGGAGCGAAGCCTAATAAATGTGGACTCATTTCTTGCACTTGAGCTCGGCAGTTATTTTGTAGACCGGATCAATATTTGAGTATTCAGTCCATAGTTTTCAGAGAGTTCTCAAACTCAGTGCCTGGAAGGAAAATGTCAGCTTTGCCCATAGTAACCAATGATCTTTTCTTGCCTGCAGCAACTAACTAAATTATCTCTTTCATTCCATAAGCTGCACTGGGGGATGGAAGGGAGAATCTTATCAGCTATGGGCAAAACACATGCTGCTTTTTCCTGATACTGTAGTAAATGAGGCTCGTTTCTTTCCTCGGTAGACGAGTATGCATACAGAGACCTGGCACTACAATTCCTAGGGGACTACAAATTCCTACAGTAAATGTATAAGTGTGTCATTGTATTCTGAAATACACCTTTGTGGCACAAGAGCCTGTTATGCGTGTTCTGCTCCAATTCCCAATGATTTCTACAATTCCGTCATCTGCAGTGGTGCTGTGCAGAGTGATACAAAGGTAGTACAGCTAGTATTGTTTCAAATGGATGTGTATGTATAGCTGTACGATGTCCATAACAAGATACATACCTACAATCTTAGTTTAGTTAGTGAGAGCATCTTTTGATTTACACTAATTGTCCCTAAAAGTAAAAAAAAACTGCAAAAAAAGTACATTTATCAAACTTTCCATTACCTCCGTTGCAGCCAGCCTTTGATCTTTTGCTGAGCTACAGCAACAATAGTCTCCAGCATCTGACAATTTAGGTTTGTTGCGTGCCTGCATCTCCCAATTACACGCTGCGAGCCCTCTGCTGAATCACTAGGGTGTACCTTCACACTACTGATTCAATGACGTACTACGCTAGCGTACCCCATCACAAGAGCGATGCAGAGACACAACACACTAGTGATGTACTGGCCTAGGGTTGGCATTGTATGGGGAGATTCAGACTTCCAACATACCTGGAAGTGTCACATGATGCTGTAGCTCTGCAACAGAGCGAAAATCCTGCAATCGAGGAAGTAATAGTTAGCATTATAAATGTGAGTTCCTATGCGGTTTGTTTACTCCTTTTAGCTAGCGACAGGGTCTCTTTAGGGACCCTGCTGATTTAGATGCTTGTAAAACTGTGCCTACCTTAGGCTCATGAGTGTTTGTTTGGTGGTACCGATGAAAGCTTCAAGTCGGGTATACACTGTGTGAATTTCTGCCAGTTCATGCTGACATTTGTACCATCTGTGCTGCTGTCAGCACCCTTTCGACCGGCGTCCCTTAATCAGGAGCTCAGAGGAGCAGGTTGGAAAATTCTCAGCCGAAGGGTGCTTGCAGCTACTCGGATGGCCACTGTCGGAGTACAATAGTAACACCAGGGGATTCCTCGATCAATGTTCATAAGCGTTGATGGAGGAATCGGTTATATTTTCGTTTGTTCAACCTTTTGGGCTGAACAAAAAATGTGTGTATACCTGGCTTCAGTCTGACCTAGATTGTCCAGACAACCATGTCTTGGAGTGATGTGGACATCTCTATCAGCCTCATACATGAATGCGTTGTGCTCTTTGAACTTTGTGGCTGTGGCAAACAGGACAACACCTAGCAAATGACTGGCAGTCTGTTGGGTGTAGCTACTCCTGTAAAGGGAGCACAATGGAGGAAGTGATATCGGCAGGCCACTAGCAGTGTTCTTATTGGACAGTAGGCAGCTGGTGCATAGCTTTAATGTTGGGGCATGCTCAGTGTGGAATGTTGGACACAAACAAAGATGGCAGCTTTTATTACTTGCAGAATCACTTACAGCGGGCCTTGTGTTTTAAAGATCTTTGTTGCCCAGAGCAGACAATCGCATTGATTTCACATGCTATAAATATAAAAGGGAATATTTAATTGCTTTAAGTATAAAAGTACCACATTTATTTTAGACAGTTGGAGTATATGAGGCTCTGTGCACTAAACATATCGACTTGCTGAAAGTTGAAGCTTGACCGGTTTGTATTGCAATGTTGACGGATGACATTGGATTCCACTTCTAAAGTGCCACATTTGCTAGAAATGTCTCTGAGATTAAACCAGTGCCACTTTATATCTTTGATGTTACATGAAGGTTAGAGATTGTGTAGAAACCTTTTTAGAATGTAAATTTTCTCTTGAGTTCCCCCCCCCC